TACAGTTGTCTCCATTATCCCTCCACCGCTCTGGCCCACCCCACCGACCGCCACCTCCCACCCTCAATCCTACCCCCTCTTTGGTTTGTCCAATCATCCCTCATACATGTTCCTTGACGACCCTTCCCCTTCTTCCCCCACCCCGTTATCCCTCTCCCCCAACCCCTCCTTTCTGGTTACTGTCAGTTTTCTCTTTATTTCAATGTCTCTGGTCAATGTCTTATATTTTCTTGCTTGTTTGTTTTGTTCATTAGGTTCTACTTATAGGTGAGACCTGAACCCTGGTTCCTATTTTTTGAGCACCTACCATGTGCCGGGCACTATACTTCATGCTTTATATGCTTATACTTATGCCGTTGTCTTATTCAATATTACATACAAAGTACTTATGTTACATTTGTAAATAACAAGTACGTGGAGTATTCATGTTTATGAATATTTCATTATATTAGTTAGAAAATACTTTCTAATATGAAGTGATTTTATATGATATTCTATTTCTATCATTGTGTTCTGTTATCCCATTGAACGTAGGAGGAAACTGAAGCTCGGAGAGGTGAGTCCACTTGCCCAAGGTCACACAGCAAGCAAGGTCACTGGGCAAGGTGACAGAGTCAAAATTTGAACCCACTTCCGTGTTTCCAGCCTTTGGCTCCTCATCACCGCATTACCCCGGCCAAAGCGGCAGAGAGCGTCTGAGGGGACAAGTAGGGAGCGGGCGAGCTGAGTGACTAGGTAACAGCTGTGCTGGTGGACATTTGTGGAGCCCTGCTGTGTGCCAGGCACAAAGCTAAGGGCTCTCATAACAATAACGATGGCGCATGGTCCTGGGACACTTGGCGAGGGTCCTGCTGCGAGCGGTCATGCGTGGACTGACCCTTTTACCCCTCACCCCAGCGCTCTGAGGCGGGTGCCGCCTCTGTCTGCATGAGGCCTGGAGGTGGAAGCGCGTTGGAAAGCTCACGGAGGAGCTGGCATCTGGTGTCCCTCGCACCCTCAAACTCTCTATTATCCCTTATCATCTTCACAGCAATCCTATAGCGTAGGAAGAAATAGCACCCATTTGACAGATGAGGAAGCTGAGGCCCAGGCTTGGACTCACCACAGGACCACAGACTTCAACTATACTGTCTGTCTGAGCAGCTCACCCCCTCTTGACCCTGTTCATGACCCCCAGGAGACCAGGAACGCCAAAGAGGCTGTGCGGGGGCCCTTGGCCAGGCTCCCAGATGCCCAGGGCCCTGTCCCACCCTGGCTTTCAGGATTTCAGGCTCCTCCCCTGCCCATCCTGCTCCCCAAGTTTCCTTCGGTTTCTGTCAGTTCTGCCTGCTGTCACTCCTCGTGTGTCACAAGAATTGTCCCATGTGCCCCAGATTGGGTTTTGGCTTGGGTTGTTATTAGATTGCGTTTTGCTATACAAAAGTTTTAAAGTTTTACGCATTTCAATTGATCCTGTTTATTTTTTAGATCAAGATCTCCAACCTCAGGGAAAATCTGGCTCCTAGGAGGGGCAGCACGGGCCGCAGCTGCCTCCTCCCTCCCTCTCCCCCTCCTCTGCTTAGCCTTCTAGGGGTTGGGGGCTTGTGATACCTTCTTGTCAGGTTGTCCGCCCTCTGTTTTTACAGCTCTTTCCCGCAGCCTTTGCCCATTGCCATGCAATGGTTTTTAAGTGGGTCGCCAATGGTCCATCTCAAATTTCACAGGTTCTGGTTTGGATCGTGAGTGGGGAGACCTCCCGCTCCTGGGCAGAAGGAGCTCCTCCTCTCTCCCCTCCGGGCCCGCTGCCCACCCCCCCTTGCCCCCTCCGGGGCCTCGGCCTCCTTATCTGCAGCTTCCACTTTCCCAAGATCTCGGGACCTGCCCAGCCGGACGGCCCAGGCGCCTCCTCTTCCCCTCCCCCAGCCTCTCCCCCTGTGGAAGGGGGGCGCCCGGAGAGGGGCGCTCCGTTCTTTGCCGAGTTTTAAGAGTTCTTCCGGCCTATACTTACTAACCCCGTGACCCTCTCTGTTGTAAGTCACCGGTCCTCAAGTCCTGTTTATTGACTCCCTTTACGATGCCGTTCGCCACAGAAAATCTAAAGCTGCTTCTTTCATACAAACACGACCATCTTGGATTTCTCGGATGTGGGTTTGCGACCTGGGTTAGGGAGGCCTCCGGCTCCTGGGGCGAGCGGCGCCCCCCGACCCCGCCCCCCGCTTCCCTCCCCTCCCGGAGTCCTAATCTCGCAGCTTCTCCCTTCCCACGGGTCGGGTCGGAGCATAAAAGCCAGCAGGGGACGCGCCCCGCAGTGTCACCATGTCCCCGCTGGGCCCACTGCTGCTGGTCCTCGCCCTGGTGGCCGTCCCCGGCGTCCGAGGCGCCTGCCCAGTGGCTGCCGACCTCAAGAACCCCGATGGGACGCGGACGTGCGCCAAGCTCTACGACAAGAGCGACCCTTACTACGAGAACTGCTGCGGAGGCGCCGAGCTGGCCATAGAGCCGGGCACCGACCTGCCCTTCCTGCCTTCGGACTGGAGGAACGTCGTCTCCTCACTCGTGGTGGCCCCGCGCTGCGAGCTCACCGTGTGGTCCCGCCGCGGCAAGGGCGGCAAGTCTCACAGGTTCACCGCCGGCGCCTACCCGCGCCTTGAAGAGTACCGCCGGGGCATCTTCGGCCACTGGTCCAACGCCATCTCCTCCATCTACTGCAGGTGCGGCCCTGCCCGCGCCCGGTGCGCACCTCCGCGCCCGCAGCTCCGGACCCAGCACCCAGGCCATGCCCCACCACCGCGGCTCGGCTCGGCTCGCGGCCTTGTCCAGACGCCTGAGGCCCTGACCCAAACTGGGAGTCCCTAGACCCAGTCGTGCACGGCCCCCTTCTCGCTCGCACGCCCTCCCCGAAGCCCATGCCTTTTGGATCTCTCAGACCCTGTCCTGGAGTTCCCAGGCTCAGAAGCTGACCCAACGCCCCCTCTGATCTTCCTGAACCCCCACCTGCATTCCCACCACACCTGCACTCTCCAGGGAAGGCCACTCACTCTGGGGCGGCCAAACCTAGCTTGGGAATGGGGAGTTGCCAACCCCCTCACCTTGGCCCCCTCTCCCCCCCCCCCCACCCCCGACCAAATCCAGTCCTCTCCCCGAATCATCAGGTCCCAGAGCTTCCTGGGGTCTCCCAGACTCAGTGTCTGACCCAGACCTCAGGACCCCAGACCCAATGCTAGGAGCACCTTACCTAGCCCTTATGCTCCCCACCCATCTAGACCCTCTAGGACAGCTTCAACCACAGGCGCCAGTGCCAGAGCGCCTGATAAGGCTCTGGAACCCAGACCCAGTTTGGAGGCCCCCCCAAGCCCACCCCGCACTCGTATATCCAAACTCCCAGGCTCTGGGACCCTTATTCTAGCCATAGCACCCTCCAGAACCACCCGCCTGCCCCACCACCCCAAGAGCTCCAGGAGCTCCCAGCCCCTGCTTCCCAGGCCAGGACACCGAGCTCTTGGAGTCGGAGCCCAGCCCCAGCTGCCCACCTCTTGTCAGGCCTCCAGAACTCCCCACGCCCTGGATCTCGGAGGCCCTGGCACTCCCTGAAGATATTTTTTGTATTCTGTTGCAGGTGTTACTGAAGCCTTAGAAGTTCCTCATCTCCAGCCCCCACAGAGCGCTGAGCCCTTCACCTGGCCTTGTTGCTGGGGCCCGCTGAAGGTCCCAAGCCCCAAACGGACAGAGCTTCCTGCCTGCTCCCGGACCCTGCCTTCCCTGCAATACAGCCCTTATGAAGTTGTCCCTGTCTGCCATCTGCTTGTGCTTGGGACCCGAGCCCACACAGGACGGGGGTGGGATGGGAGGCAGCAGGGTGGTCATGCCAGGATCAGCCCATACCTGCAACAATGCTGTGGGTGGGGGTGCACCCAGAGAGTCCCACATGGATTTAGGTGCGCACGAAGACACAGCCACAGGACACATGTACGCACGCAGCAGTACCGCCGGCCGAGGGTTAAACACTGATATGCTTCCCACTCTATTGGTAGACACCCCTTCCCTGAGTGCCCCCCCAGCTGTCTGGCCTGTCAGGGACCTCCAGACTCAGCATTCATGTGTGAGAAGGAAGGCAGCAGGCAGCCTTCAAGGGCCTGCCCCAGGCGAGGGCCAGGGTCTGTTGTGGGGTCTGGCCAGAGCCTAGGACTTACGGGTTGTTAAATATGTTCAACCCTCCTCTCCCTAACACACGGAGGACACTTTAGTTCAAATTTCCGTATTTTCTGCAAATTTGAGTTTGCAACCTATTCCCACCTCCACCCCCAGGGATAAGGGTGCTTGATGAGTACCTGGGTCTGGGGGCCCTTAAGAGAAACTAAAGGAAAGAACTGAAATCTTGGGGTAAGGAAAGGTATGGGGACAGCTCTGGGGGATGACAACTTGGGTTTGGACGGAGAAGGGAAATACAGGGAGATTCTGAGAGTTAAGAAATACGGGGAAAGCGGTAGGTGGAGAGGCTAAGAGCCCATAAATTGGGGATATGTGACAAGATCAGAGGTGAAGGCAGGTGCAGAAGGGAGAGGAGTTGTGAGGTGCTGGAGGATCACGGATTGGAGGATGTGGGAGTGGGAAAGGAACTCCGTGAAGTTCTAAGGAGCAAAGATTGGGGACATACTCAGCACCCTTGGGCACGTGTATTTATTCATTTAGTCACCAAGGACTTATTGGGCACCTGCTGTCTGTCAAGCACCGACTCAGGAAGAAGGGGCCCTGCCCTCATGGAGCCCAGAGAGTGCAGGGGAAATGCCAAAGAGCCAGACATTCAGGGATGCGGGGAGAGGAGGGATGAGAAGCCAAAGACCCGGCAGTAGCCAGGAGCCTAGGGAGCGGTAAGTGGTCAGGGGGAAGCGCAGAGTCCCGAAGGTGTTAAGGGATCAGCATCAGGGCGGTGCTAAGAGAACAGGGCGATGCTACAGCGGCAGGGAGGTGTCATGGGGTAGATGGATGAGACAAGGGGGCAGAGCGGGCCCAGAACCAGCCGGTCACTCCCTGAACTGCACAGACACGGAGGAGTCAGTCACCCTTGTCCGCCGCAGCCCACCAGGCTCCAGCCGGTTCTTTGTCTTGTGCAGGAAATGGACAAAGCGCACACCAGGGCCGTACTGGCGGAACACGTGCGACACCTGTGGCAGCACCGGGGTCGGAAAGAAGTCCTCATTAGCGACCCACAAGCCCTGCTCTCCTCCCGCCTCCCTCCGTGAGGCCTTGGGACACGAGTGGGTGGCACCTGGGGCAGGGCGTCTCACCTGGACCCAGCAGCCAGGAGGGCCCCTCCCAGAGGTCCGGGGGGCCACGTGGTGCTGCGCAATGGTGGTGTGGCGGTCAGCTGCCAGCAGCCAGACGTGCAGCTCGTAGACACACACGTCCAGCCGGCTGTCCTCATACCTGGGGGTGGGGTCCAGGCCTTCAGCTGCCACCGCAGCCCCGACACCCTGACCCCCACCTCTGGCCCCAGTCGTCATTTAACACACACTCACTGGCACCCGCTGTGCGCACCGAGGCTGGGTGGTGCTGGCAGCGCAGCAGTGACCAAGGCAGCCCCACGCCCCTGCCCCCGTGGGATTCACAGCTCAGTGGGGGCGGCCGACCAGACCCGTCACCAGGCAGCGACAAGCAAGAATGACCAGGGCCAGGACGGGCCGGCCAGGGAGGCTTCCTGGTGGCGCCGTGTTAAACTGACTCCTCAAGGATAAGGAGGAATTTGCCTTGAGAAAGATAAGCGTCTACGGAGGAAGGCACAGCCTTGGGCCTGGCACATTTCAAGAACTGAAAGTGTCAGAGAGAAGGGGCCGTGGGCAGGGCTGGATCCTGAAGGGGCAGAAGGGTTCTGGTGGGGGGGCTCGGCCAGAGGGCGCGAGGGGGCGAGGCTTGCACTGCGGGAGCCCCCGGGTGCAACCCGGCAGCGCAGGGGCACGTACCAGTCCATGACCGTGATGTCCGGCTGCTCGTCGTCGAGCAGCTCCTCCCACAGCCCCTCGGCCAGCAGATCCACACACTGCTGCTTCACCGTCCAGCTGTGAGAGGGGGCACAGGGAGGCCGGCTCTGGGGCCCGCTGGCACTCTTGGGCCCAGCTGGGCCTGACCCCAGGGAGCAGGAAACCCTGATCATCGCACCCTCATATTGAGGGTGCTCGTGTGTGGGCGCTGAGTGCTCACTCGGCCCCTTACAGCCTCACTTCCCATCATTTCCTCAGTGGGTGATGCGCTCTGAACTCTATGTTAGAGACGGGGAAACCGAGGCTCAAGAAGGGACATGACTTGCCCAGGGTCAAGCAGCAAAGAAGTGCAGAGCCGGGATCCCAACCCTGGGCATCTGTGAGCCCCTCAGTTACACCTTCTCGCCCAACGTCCAGAAGCAGGGCTCGGTTTCACGTGGAGAGATGGAGGCCTGGGGGGCTCTCCCCCTCCCAGCAAAAGAGGCTCAGCAGAGGAGCAATAATAGCTGCTACTTATTGAACACCTACTACGCGTAAGGCAGACCTGGCCAGAGCCTGTGTTGTGAGTTTTACGAGAGTTTTCTCTGGTGACTGCCTGTGTTCACAGAGCAAGAAACTGAGGCCCAGAGAGGCAAAATCATTTTCTCCAGGCCCCACAGCAAGGAAGGCTGGAGGAGGCAGTGAAGCGCAGGCCACCGGCTCCTGGCCACTCACCTGCAGTTACGCTGGACCTTCTCAGTCCTAATGTGCCACCCGCGGAAGTTGCCTGCCACGTGGAGGAGCGAAGGGTTAGAACGTGCCTGGTCTGCAGACCGGGCCCTCCCCCCGGGGCCCAGCCACCAGGCACTCACCCAGAGTCTCCAGGGGCTGCTGTGTGGGCCCAGTAGGGGGTGCTGGCTCATAAATGTTGATGCCTGAAATGAGTAGTGAGAGAGCCTCAGGCCTGCTGAGGCTGTCCCTCCCCACTCTCCTCCAGGGCCCCCTGCCCCAGGGCTGCTCTGGAAGGGCAGGAAGTTGTGCCCCACCCACCAGGCCAGACCAGCCTGGCAGGGAGGAGTGAGTCAGGGCCCAGGGAGAGCGCTGAGGATGTGCTGAGGGAGAGGGACGATGTGCCTTGCGGTGAGACAGACAGAGGGACAGAGAGGCACCAAGAAAAAAGACTTAGAATATAGGCAGAGGGAGGGAAGGAGAGAAAGAGCAGGAGGGGAGGACTGACTGAGGGTGAAAAAGAGACTCAGGGAGAGAGAGACAGATGCAAGGTGGGGACAGAGAGCCTCAGGGAGAGAGAGAGAGGCACAGATGACAGAAATAGAGACAGAAACAGAGAGTCAGGAAAACAGACGGAAAGAAGAGACAGGCGGTCTGAGTAAGCCGCTCGGGGGAAGAAGCTACAGCCGGTAGCATCCGGTCTCTCCCAGCTCCGTCCGGGGCGCGCTGTGTGCGCACCTTCGGGGTTGGGTGAGCGCAGCAGGTTGCGGTAGAGCGGCCGCCGCAGAAAGAGCAGCTTCCAGGTAAGGCCCGGCGGCAGCTCCAGGCTCCCGCCCGGCGGCTTCCACTCCTCAAGCAGCAGCTGCCGCGCGTGGGCCTCTGACGGCTCCTCCGGTGGGGACAGCTCGGGACTCTGGGGAGCCGCAGGTGACAGCAGCTTCGGCGGTGGAGGCGGCGACTGTGGCGACGGTGGCGACAGCGGCTCGTGGGGGCTTGCGGGCTCCTCGGCCTCCATCCCGCCGCCGAGCTCACGTCTGCCCTGCACCTTCTCCATCCGTCGTCGGGTCTGGGCGACTGTCCTGGCTCCTCTGCAGGGCTGGGGTTAACTGGGGCAGGAGGGGGTGGGGCTCTCCAGCTGGTATTTAAGAGAGGGGTGTGTTGGGGGAAGGCTCGGGCTCCCAGGCCCACCCCCATCAGACCCAGGAGTCCAGGCCCCCAGTCGCCTCTTCCCTCAAACCCAGTATCCAGGCTTCCAGCCCCTCCTAGTCTCAGAAGGCAGCAGGCCAGATCCCAGGCCCTCCTCAGTTTCTCAAGCCTCCTGCTCCAGTTTCCCTGGGGCTAGCTGGAGACCCAGGCACTGGCCCTGCGACTGGGGTGTGACAAATGAGCTACTACCAGGGCTCTGCGCTCTCTAATGAGGCCCGTTGCCCTCATTAAGATCTGACATGGCAGGAGGTTATTTAATAAAGACCCCCTTTCTGCCCTCCTCTCAGAAAAGGGGAGGGAGAGTGGGGATAGCCTGCTTCTGCCACTTCCTCTTCTATCCTCACCTGGGACACACTCTTGGGACCCTGACATTTCCTGTTCTGGAAACCAAGGGGGCTTGGAGGGCAGAAAGAGACCTGGAGCCAGTGATAGGGAGTCACCAGAATGGGGGACCCCGAGGAGACACTGAGCAGCAGAGAAGGAAGCAGGAACCCCACCTGGGTTTTCGGGGTACCTGCACCCCTTCCTGGGGCTGGGGCAGGGAACACAGACTGCCAAAGCCTCCTCCCTCAGAGTTCACCGGAAGTTTGGGGTGAGGAATGGGGCAATGGTGGGGGCAGGAGGTTGGGGGGTGGAGGAAACAGGGTGGCGGAGAAACCTGTAGGGCCAGATGCCCATGGCCAAGTCCTGCCCGGGCCACATCCCACACTGGGTGAGCACAGACGCAGAGGTCCACACAGATTACCAGGAACGGCCACCAGCAAGTGCTTGCCGCTTGCTAGGCACTGGTCTAAGTGCTTGCAAGTTCATTTCATCCTCTAACACCACAGGAGGGAGGCACTGCTATTATAAAGGAAAGATAACGGCAACCGTGTGTGTGTGTCTGTGTGTGTCACTATATGCCGCGGATGCGTTTCAGCCCCCACCTCGCCTGTGCACTGACCCTATGTGGGGTACTGTTGTTATCCCCATACCCTGTTTCAGTCAGGGAAACAGAGGTCACCCTCATAGGCTTGGTCCCTTATTGCCCCGGGTAACCACATGCTTCCATGGGTGCTTCCTGCTCCAGATTTGAGGAGAGACCCATGGTGCAGACTTTAGGAGTTGAGCCCACACCCTAATGATGATGCTCGTGCCGCTGAGGGGCGGCTGTGTGTCAGGCATTGTTCTAAGCTCTTTAGGTTGGGTAATGAATTCAATCTCCACATTCTCCCTGGGAAATAGATTCTATTGTTAAACCCATTTTGCAGATGAGGAAACCGAGGCACAGTAGTGAGGCACTAGTAACTCACGCAAGATTTGCACAGCTGGTCTGTGTCGAGTTGGATATACAGAGCCTCAGGTAAGATACACAGGGACACATATCAGATCACACCCAGGGAAAAACACAGCTCACACAGAAGCAGACAGGAGATAATGGTCATATTTACTGTCTGTCTTTAACTCACTGAACCTCTCAACAACCCCAGGAGGCGGAAACTGATAATAGTACCTCCATTCACAGATCACAGGCAGAGAGGTGACGTGACCTGTCCTGGGAAAGTTGGGAATTAGCCAGGGACCTGGTGGGTGGGGAGGACTCATGGGAGGAGGCAAACCAACTAATGCATACCAGAGCCTAGTCCCACTGCACCTGGGGGTTCCCACGAGAGTCCCAGACCAACACTCGAAGAGCTCAAGACAACCCGAACAACCAGAAACACTCCTCACCACCAGAAGCACACAAACCCACACCCGTATTGGGCAGCCTGCCCACCTGTTTTCATTGGAGGAGAAGGAGGAAGGGGCAGAGCCAGAAGAAGAGTGTGGCGAGTGGAGTCAGAGATGTCCCAGGTCAGAATCCAGAGCAAGGTGTGGCCAGGAGCCAGGCACCTGAAAATAGAGGCAGGGGAGAGTCTACAGAGGAAATCAACACCCCTCCTCTGCCTGTCCCCCACCTACCATGGTTTCCACATCATCCCCTCCCTGAGAGTGGTTTTACACACACACACACACACACACACACACACACACACGGTGGCAGCCACGGGGGTCCTACGAAAGCCCAAACCCAACCACTCACTCCCCCCACTTAAAACCACCGTGGCTCCCCAGTGCTCTCAGCAAGTCCCAGATCTCTGTCCGGCATTTGAGGCCCCGGATTCCTGCTCCCTACCTCTGTGACCTGTTCTCTCCCATGAAGTTCTTTCCACCTGGCATGCCCTGCCCTCTCTTCCACATCCTCATGCTCAGATGTTCCCAAACATTAAGGCATATCACGTTCACCCAGGGGCCTTATTTAAAATGTGCATTTCCAAGCCCTCTTCCCGGGAGTCTGATTCAGTCCCTCTACCCCTACAATCTAAAATTTAAGAAGCACTGTACTCCCGCATTTCTACTATAAGAAATATTTATACCTAAATCTGGGGGATCCAGGAGCACAACCAGGGCCCAGCAAAGCCCAGTGGCTCTCAACATTAAATCTCAAATGACCCTTCTCCAAACAGGCCAAGGTCTGGTTTACCAACATGGCACCCTTCCCCATAAACCACCCTTCATGTGCCATGGAACATTAAAGAACATAGTGATGCTGCAACCACTTTGGGACACAAGTTGACAGTTTCTTGTAAAACTGACTATCCACCCTACAACTACGTGATCCCACTCCTAGGATTTAGCCTCAAGAAATGAAAGGATATGTCCCCAGAAAGACCCACACACAATGTTTTTTTCAAAATCCAGTTGATCCTTGAACAGCATGGGTTTGAACTGTGTGGGTCCACTTATAGGCAGGTTTTTTCAATCAATAACCTCCTGTTCTTCCAACCAATACTTATTAAGTATCAATGGGGGTAAGTATGGGCCCCACAAGTCAACAAATAACTACTTAATTTACAAGCGGGACTAAGTGCTTCTGAGGTGAAGACCAGGCTGTGAAGGCAGAGAAGAGGAACTGGTGGGAATCAGCTTTTAAGTGGGGTGGTCATGGAGGGCTTCTTGGAGGAGATGACATTTGAACAGAGACCTGAAGAAGGCCAAAAGGAGCTAGCTGTGCAAAGGGCTAGGGGAGGAACATGTCCAAGCAGAGGAACAGCATGTGCAAAGGCCCTGAGGTGGGACTAGGCTTGGTGTGTTGGGGGAACTTTAGGGAGGCCAGTGTGTCTGGGAAGGAAGGAAGGAAGGGGAGCTGACGTCAAAGAGAGGATTGGAGTAACTCTGCAGCATTTTTCTAAGGGTAGTAATTTCTAAGTGAATTATGGGGAAGGTTTCAGCTGGGAAATGAGGAGACACAACTGATCTCTGGCTGAGCGAGGGCAGGAAGGGAGCAGGGAGATAGCAAGAAGGGAGATATGGGGTGGACAGGACCGTGGAGGGGCCATGGAGTGGCTGGCAGAGGACAGATTCAGGATCTCTTCTGAAGACAGACAGGAAAGGCTTGAGGGTTTGAGCAATAGACTGAAGGTGGCACCATTTGCCAGAGGGAAGAAGGAGGCCAGGACAAGTAGGGAGGGGCAGGAAATCAAGCATTCCATCGCAGATGTGTTAAGTCCTGGACATCCAAAGGGGCGATGCTGGAGGAGGGGGCAGGCGGGGTCAGGGCTGAGAAATAAATATGGAGGCATCCCCACATAGCTGAGGAAGGTAATAAAATCAACAATACAGGCATACCTCAGAGAATCTGCAGGTTCCATTTCAATCCATCACAACAAAGCAAGTATCACAATACAGTGAGTCTCAATTTTTTTTGCCAATGGAGTGTCTTGCCTTCAGTTTATAAAAAACACAACATCTGTAAGGCACTAAAAAGCGGAGTACAATAAAACATGGTATGCTTGTAACAACAATTATGGAATGCTTAGTGTGTGCCAGGGACTGTTCTATATGCTCTGTGTATGTGAACCAAATGTACCTTCTAAGGGAGGTATTATTAAACTCACTTTACCGATGAGGAAACTGAGGCACAGAGAAGTGAAATGACTTGCTCAAGGCCACACAGCCAGGAAGTGACAGAGCTGGGATCTTAACCCTGACAGTTTGGCCCCAGAGTGTGCATCAGCAGGGAGGGTGGCCAAGGTTAAAATCCAAGCTCCTTTTGCTAGAATCTGACTTTCAGGATAAGACTTCCCACCAGGCATCTTCTCCTTAAACCCCTCCTGGCTCCTCAGTGGCCTCAGATCATATTCTAGTTTGCAGTTCACTTTCTAAGTCATTGAGTTGGTCCCAATACCCCTCAACATTTCCCTGCCCCTATCTTTACATCCCATCAGCTCCAAATTCCACTCATGAGAAGATTCAGAGCTCCTGCCAGGCTCTGTGACAGGGAAGATGGTAGGCTCCATCTCCTGTTGCAGGTGGGAAGTCATGCTGGGGTCTGTTGCTTTGTCTGCTGCATCAGACAGTGTATTCGTTTCCTGTGGCTGCCACAATAAATTAGCACAGACTTGGTGGCATAAAATAACAGTTTATTCTCTCACAGTTCTGGAGGCCAGAAGTCTGAAATCAAGGTGTTGGCAGGGACACATTCTCTCCAAAGGCCCTAGGGGGGAATCCTTCCTCTCCAGCCCCAGCTTCTGGAGGCTGCCAGCACTCCTTGGCTTGAGGCCACATCACACCAATCTCTGCTTCTGTGATCACATTGCCTCCTCTTTGCTCTCAAATTTACCTCTGCCTCACTCTTATAAGGACACTTGTCATTGAATTTAGGGCCCACTCAGGTAATCCAGGATGACCTCTTCACCTCAATGTCCCCAACTAATTATATCTATAGAGACCCTTTTTCTATATGAGGTACCATTCACAGGTTCTGAGAATTAGGATGCGGACTTGCCTTTTTGAGGAGCACCGTTCAACCCACAGTGAACAGGGATT